CGGTGGCTTAGTGTGTTATGCATACTTGAAAGTAAAAGGCTGCATGACTTTCGTTGTTGGAGTACTTGGTTGAAAACGCGTATAATTAGCGTTGTTCGTGAGCTAAAAAACGTGATGCATGCAAATAACGGAAATAACGGTACCGAGCTCGCCTCAAACCCCTGATCTTCTGCGTGGTAAGCACAAATAGCCACGCCAGTGATTGAAATGGCTGCGAAAAAAAATTCTTCTCAACGAGTGTTATGAGGTGCGAGAGGTCATGCTAACAAATTCAGTATTGCACGACAAAACCATGCAATGGCACCACGCATCACTTCATGTGATTTGCGCAAAGAATGAATGCATGGCTAAAAGGTGGAAGCATTACTACATGTTCATTTAAAATTGATCATTATCATCAGCGACGTAATCAATGAAAGGTACAGCTGCCCGTCGTTATAGATGCGCATGCTACCTCGCTAATTCGCAAAAGTTTGAATAGTAGTGAGAAGCGTAGCTAGCGCTGCCTAGCCACACAGAAGGCTTGTTAGGGTGTTATTTCGTTGCAACTCAGCACTTCGTCCTGCCTCTGTCCTGTTTCGTCTGATAAAGTTTCGTTAAGAATCGAACGATGATATGAAGGCGGCCCATCTCCGCTATCCAGTTCTACCACTGAATATGAAGCTCAAGCTTTATTCATGATTTGATCTCTGAAGCACGTTGGTTCAAAATATCACAAACTTTCAAGCTGGTTTCCGAAAGCCTTAATCCTTATGATGACAGGCTGATTTTTTTAATCTTCTTCTTGTGTAGACATTGCAGCAGTTCTAAACCTTGCACTTAATATATAGCTGCACATCTGTTAAATATGAGGAAGCGTGCAGCCCTCATGTTTACCCAGCGATTCCCTTTGAGATTGCCGCTACTTCGGTAGCCTCGGTATAATTTAGTGCGCTTGACGAGCTGGTGGCGCCCTCTTTAGAACAACGCGTTTATCGGTCGTGTGTTTCATGGCTTCTCGGCGATTTTAGGCAAGATGTTGCGAATAAATTGCAATATTTATGTAGTTGATAATATTCAAGACCTTGTGTGTCTATTTTGTGCTGGCTTTGAGCTTTGTTACCCATATTTTAGGCTTCTATTGACCACTGCGTGGCCGTGCGACATGAGACGGTGAGTGTATGATCAATCGGGACCCTAAAGGCCTTACCACACGCACCGGCTGCAGCGCGGTGCTATAAAGGGGATCGTTACCGCGGACAAACAGACAAATGTACATACATACATACATACATACATACATACATACATACATACATACATACATACATACATACATACATACATACATACATACATACATACATACATACATACATACATACATACATACATACATACATACATACATACATACATACATACATACATACATACATACACGCATACATACATACATACATACATACATACATACATACATACATACATACATACATACATACATACATACATACATACATACATACATACATACATACATACATACATACATACATACAGACAGACAGAAATTTTTGCGTTGAAGGTCCGTAAGAAAGACTGTCTTCTTTAAAAGTGGGCATGCAGCTTCGCGTAGCTACGCGCCCTCTTCCTCTACTGGGAGGGCACTACGTTGCCTCAGAAATCCTCGCGTTGACGCGCTGCGACAGGTACGTGTGATCACGCCTTAACGTGCTGCGCACTTAATAGCCAAGTTTGTAAGTGGTTGCTTATACACCGTCATAGCTCGTGTATATTTCGAGCTTCAGCAAGCACGGTGTGCCTGCGCTCGCTTTACATCGTAGCGTAATAGTATTCACGAAATGACTTCCCACAAAATTGTTTTGTTCACTGCATTTTGCAAACTTTTTTTTTCGTTTTTATGGATCAACAACAACGTTTTATGATCAACAACGAAACAATTGGTGGCCACGCAACAGTGAAATTTTGTGACAGCCATGCGTGCGATCATACTATTTCCATAATCACCATGCTTCCCAATATGGCTTGTAGTATATGATAATAACATGTGCGCTTTTACGTTCCAAATTTACTATACTATTATGAGAAACGCCGTAGTGGAGGGGTCCGGAAGTTTTTACCGGAAATCTTTAAGGTGCACTGACAACGCGCAGCACACAGACATTTATGATTTCTCCTACATGGAGAGCCCAAAACAACGTGAAAAGCAAATATTGTTTATAGTTGAGTACAATAAATGGTAGGAATTCTAACGTTTTCATAAAAATGTGCGTGAACCCTTTTCGAATGACGTTCTGTATATCTTTTCTAGACTACCCGCGCAGATTGAAAACTTTAAGCCCAGTGCAGCCTGGCACATTTAAAGTGCACATCATCATCATCATCCTCATCATCATCCTGACTACGTCTACTGCAGAGCACAGGCCACTCCCATGATCCGCCAATGAATCCAGCCTTGTGTTTTTTGCTGGCCCGTTATACCTGTGAAATTTTTATATCGTCGGCCCACCTAACTGTCTGTCTCCCTTTCGTGTGTTTGCCTTCTCTGAGAATCTAGTCAGTTACCCTTAATCACCAGCCGTTATCCTGCCTACATGCTACGTGTTCAGCCCGTGCCCATTTCTTCATGATTTCCTCTGAAATCCTTGACCCCAGTTTGTTCCCTGACCCACTCTGTTCTCTTTTTGTCTCCTACAGTTACACCTATCAATTTCCTTTTCATCGCTCGCTGGATCGTCTTCAATTTAAGCTGAACCCTTTTTGTACGTCTCCATGTTTGCGCTCCATAGGTAAATACCGGTTAGATGCTGCTGTTTTACACCTTCTTCTTGAGCCTTAGTGGTAGACTAGCATTTATAATTTGACAATGTTTGTCGAATGCCTTCCACACAATCCTTATTCTTAAAAATAAGGTTCGGTGCCCCTGGAATTACCTGTCCTAAATAGACTCTTTCCATAACAACTTCCGTTGACTTGCCACCTATCGCAAAGCGCTGTTTTTTTTTTTTTAGTGACGGTTGCACATTACTTTAGTTTATACATATTAACTCTGAGACCAATTTTTCTCCTTTCCGTGTCCAGCACAGTAATCATGAGCTGTAATTCGTCCCCTGAGTTACTCATCAAAGCAATGCCATCAGCGAACTAAAGATTACTAAGAGACTCTCCATCAACACTCATCCCTAACTCTTCCCAGTGAGGGCCCTGGAAACCGTCTGTAAACACGTGGTGAATAGCACTGAAGAGACCGTGTCTTCCTGCCTCACGCCACTTCTGTACCTCCAACACGAATTCACCAATAGGCAAGAGTCATCATCATCATCAGCCTCACTACGATCACTGCAGGACAAAGGCCTCTCCCATGTTCCACCAGTCAACTCGGTCCTGTGCTTGCCGCTGCCACTTTATACCCGCAAACTTCTTAATTTCATCTGCCCATCTAACTTTCTGTCTCCCCCTAACCTGCTCCCCCTCTCTGAGAATCCAGTCAGTTACCCTTAATGTCCAGTGGTTATACTGCCTATGCGCTGAGAGTATCTGACTCGTAATCATAACGTTGAAGGCTCGTTTCCGCCGGCGGCACGTTGTCTTTTCGTCTAATTTTTTTTTTTTTTTGCATCTGTACCACACTTACTGCTGAGCGCTTTAGTCAACACAGCTATATCCTGTACCTTCCTCGACTTCATTTCATCGTGTGTTTCGTTAACGTGCAATAGGAAACGTTTTTTGTCTTTCTGAAACTGTTTGTCAGTTAATTCTTTTTAATAGGTTTAACAATATGTCTGTTTGATTTAAAGACTATTATAACAATGTCCCTGCCTTTATATTTTGTTCTTAAAATGTCCTGTGAAAGGAAGCTTCGTGGTTATTTTTCCCTGTGTTATCCTTTCTTTTTCTGATTTATCTATCTAAACAAGCCCCCGTGGTGCCAAGATCTTCTATAATATTGCTGGATCTCTAAGGAAGTAATGAATACATTAGTTCTCCCATACTACGTCGTAGTATTCCTGCGACGCCTGAGGGCGCCATCTAACATACTTCATACCAAGCGAGCTGCCGAGCCTCGCACCTTTCGCCGAGCGAAGGCGCTAGCTATCCACTCATTCCACGGTTTCGAGTTGTGCAGTCTCGCACCTCCGCTGGGAGATGGCGCTTGTAATCTGCGCATTCCACAGTTTCGCTATTTGTTTGACGTCGCGTTTTGCGGCAAATTAATAGCGAAATCAAAGATTGGTGCTCCGTAATTTTGCACACATGCTGCGATTCGTTTAGCGCTTACCTCATAATTACAACTCGCAAGATTATCTCATTCAGCACATTTCATGTGCTGTTCATACTTGATGGCTGTGCCAGCGATGTCTTTTTTTGAAAACAAAATGTTAAATCAATAAAAATCCAATGCCAGATACGCTTCAAAACAATTGGCATAGTTCATTGGCCGCGCATAACTAATCCACTAGTGACCAGGCATTCATTCCAAACATTCGGTTCACTCGATCTTCTCGGAACCGAAACCACTACGAATGCTTTCGTTTTTACATACTCGTCTCGTTCCTTTTTACAGCTGTAGACCAGGGAAAATCAAGTATATCAAAATGACTCCCATGAGACATGACTTGTAGATGTTTCGGAAATGTGTGTCTCAAAAAGTTTACTGATAATTGTTCTCACAAAACAAGCGAAGCGACAAAAGAACGCGCTGAGCCGACAGTTCACAGCTGTTCATATTGGTCACGCCTGCGTTGCCATGGTAGCCACATATCAAACAAGACACTGAACTACATTTTTTTTTTTTTCTTACGCAAACTCACGCTTCGGCTGCGCTTCTTTTTTTCCCAGTTAGCGCGTTGTTTCCTCAGCCTGGTATTCTGCGTGGTATATGACTCGCATACATTCAATGATCACGATTCACGAAGCATTAATTATGCCAGAGAAGTGCGTCCAGCGACGGCTTCTTTCGGCCGATGCACCCTGTTGACGCGACGCCATGAATTCGGATGGCCGAGCTGCACGTCTTCGGTCAGATATTGGGCGCGTCTGATTTTCCCTGCTCGAGCCTGTTTTGCAAGTGGAGCTTGAAATTCGGTAAGTGCGTGCGAGCCCTGTTGTTCTCCGCATCGACGCATGTGTTAGCGTTAGTATATGTGTGTTGACGGGAAGTGCGGCGAATATGTATGCATGCAATTAGCGTCGTCTTCAAGTACACTGTAAAAAGTTTTGCGGCACAACTGCGCAGTTAATCCGTAAAGGGTTATTTGCTCCTCCTAAAGACGAAATGTGCGCGAACGATTGCACACGACACGGCAAGAGGGCCACTTTCCTCCTTGAGGAGTAAAGAGCCCGTTCTTTTGGAGTACCTGCAGCATTGTTGGCGCCGTGTTCAAACGACCCATCAGTGCCTACACAAGTATGTTTCTTTTCAGACGACTTCGTAGCGCGGTGTGTTGTTGTGGTTAGTGCACACGCATGCTGACTGTGTGGTCGCGAGTTCGAATACAGTGTGTTTGCTGCAAATGTCGCGACGTTCATTTCTGGTTGTGATGCTAGCTGATCGCCTCTACATCTAGTCGAATGCCTGCACACACATAGAAAGGCTCGTTAAGTCAACCAAAACTAGATTTTTCGTTTGCGCAAAATGGCTCCTTCGAGGAGTAACAGCGAGGGCATGGTTACTCCTTTGCAGTTACTCCCAGAATGGTGCAATGTGTGTGGCAGCTTAGTTCCTCCTCTAAACAAGCAACCTCGATACTCCTTTTCCTCCTTTACTCGCTAGAGTGTCGACTGCGCTTGAGTTCAAGATGATACGAGTTTGAAACAGAAATAAAACTGCGCAGCGGTGGGAACGTAGGTAAGTGTAGACAGTACTGGTCCAGTTGATGCGATTGCGATTATTCTGCGGGTGTCCTGTCCACTACATCTTGGGTTCCGTGCCCTGTGCAGTCTCATTAAATGCGAAGTCTTTCTTGGGAAAAGAAGCCACCTTGAGCTTTTCCATCGACGTATCCGTTCATCTGTATCTAGCTGCCTATGCTGGCTGCTCTTGTTATTGCCAACATATATCTTTCAAAGGCTCATATGGTTTGACGAATATGATGGTCTGGTCGTGAGATGAACACGGAAGTCGCTGTGCTCTCAACGACTTTAATCACAATGCCCTTGCAGAACGTACTATTCTTGTTTTCCTCGGTGTGTGTCAAGGGGGAGGGTAATAGGGTGGGTAAGTGTGTGTTTTCATTTTGTACACCTTACTTCCGACCACTATTTCCCCACCTGAGCATCTTCCTCTTCATCTCTTTTTCTTACCACCTGCTTATAAATAATAAATTGTGCTCCTTAGCTATCTCAGTTCACCTCACTTTAGAAGTAGTATGCCAGGCGCGTAAACAGGGCAAATAGTATCCAGCATTCACTAAACGTTGCCTCTCTCATATTACAGGGGAGAACTGGACTCTATTAGAGGGCTCAAAGGAAGGCCAGACACAGGTGGACAGACACCGGTACGAAGACAACAGGGTCGTCTGGTGTCATCCTCTGGACGTTCACTTCAGCACAAGAGGCATCCAGGGTCAGTTGAGCCATCTGACAGGCCTACGAGCCGAGTTATGATTCAAAAAGAAATGATACGTGACCTTTTTTATTTGGGGTCTTAACACATTCTCAAAAAAAGGGTTTCCAGACTTTATCCCTAAATATTGGTAAGCCTGCAGAAGTTGCGCGAAGTTGTGTGCTTCGACAAAAAAGCCGTTCGAGCCTGATTGCAAGGTTTAGTGTTATTCGATTTGTGCACAAAATGAGCTGATCGTAGAAACCGTGACTGTTAATATTTGATATGTCCGGCACGCTGGCAAAAGCATCCGCACAGAAGGTTCAGGGGACACCTCCCTGCCTAATCATCTACATAAGGCGCCAACTATGCCCCGTATCTTCAATGAGTCGTACTTGCACGGTTATTGTGTTAGGTGCAGGCTTATGAACGTGCAAATTTTTTACGACAACTTCTGTCGATGACGCCTGTTGTTGCATTCCTTCTTACCTTTATCCCCGTTAGGACTGGGACCAAAGGCAACCAGGCGCGAGAAGTACACCATGATCCCATTTTCATTTCTGCATTCATTGCGACTCTTCTTGCATTCGGACCCGATCAACAAAAGGAGCGGAAGGTGGTCTTCGGTCAAACTTGCTCTAAAGTGTACTTCAAGTTGCCTCTACCCTTTCTTGATTGTCAAATCGGCTCACGCCTATCGCTGGTTATACGTTGGAGGAAAGGTGAACCGTAAGTTGATGTCGTCCTGTGGCAGTAGAGACCTGCACGTCATTTCGACGCAGTTCGGACATCGCGGCTAGCAGTAGTATTGAGCGCTATCCACTTTCAGTGACAGAAGTGGAGCAAGCGAGTCTGAAGTAGAGCATTTTCATGGGTAACAAAGGCTCCGCGATTCACTTTTATTGTGTGGGCCCTGGGCCTCCATGCCAGAAGTGGACGTGTAGTTTCCGTACAACAAAGCCTGCAGGTGATCTCCCCCCCCCCCGCTTTAACAAAACAATCACCTATTCATTAGGGTAAGCCCGCTCATTATCATCTGCGGTCGACGTAGAATCACGAGTATATCATCTAATGCTTTGGCAAACATGTAGCACTTCCAACAGGTGTAACAGAACTATTTTTTATTAGCAGCTGTACAAGTTATTACCGCAAAGCGTCCTTATAAAAACAGCACTCGTTAGTGTGCTTTGATAATCAAGAGCGCGTTAAGGAATGAGGCCAAGTAAATAAAATCTAATTTATCCTGAATGTGTCGTTTTTCGGTTTTACGTTGCGTTAAATGCGCTATGTATTGCCCGTCATTGTGCTGCATAAAGCTTTAGTCTACGCAGTTTTCTTCAAGAGCTACAAGTGAAAACGTTATACCGACTATCACCGACGAAACCGAAACTGAAAGCGCCAGTTTGGTGTGCATTATAGAATTAGCTTGATATGTAGTAGTTTGTCGGCTATTTAGCAATCACATCAAGTTCGAACACGTCATACTGCTCTGAAAGCATCGTAGACGCATCCTTTTTAGCATAAAAGTCATAAACTTCTCACTAGGTCTATGTGTAAAGTGATACAAGTGTTGCTCAATCTCAAGGACACCTATGCGAGTCTGTAAACAATCAACAGGCTTTGTTTGACGATTTGTGCACTTACAATAATATAACAGAAGCACTTTTCATATTTTAATCAAATAGGTTCACTTTCTTTATCCCCATCTTAGTTTGCAGTTCTTAATTTTCCCTATTCTCTGCATTTTCGTCATAACCTGCGTTTATAGAAATGCTGCATTGTTCCTGTTCCTATTACTTTTTTTCTTCTTTCTTATTTGAAACTGTGGGCTCTCTGGACTAATTATGCAGCAGCCCTGCATGCTTATGCTTTCAATACTTCACATCCACATTTTAAAACGAGCGTCCGCTACCGAGTAAACAACTTCAAATTTAGGAACAATCGCTGCATTGCCTAGATTTTCTTTTGTCGAAGCGCCTACACTGTACTGTGTCCTATCGCAAAGTTCAGTGCCTGACGCCCGCTATTGACGTGAATGCAAACGACAATGAGCAGATGGCACGTAGGCCGCTTCGTATACTGCGTTTCGTGGAAAAGGATATACTTCGTTTCAACGGGCCTGATCGGACGCTTGATCAGACGCCTGATCGGACGCCTCAAATTTGCGTTTGTGGCGCATTTCTCTCGAAACATCGGTTAGACCCAGTGCTCCTTTTCATGCGGTCGTTCAAATGTCAACGAGAATACATCGAATTTGGGGTCACACCGAGTATTCATGTGCCTTCAAGCTGCGCCATTGCGTTGTACAATGGGCAGCTTGTATGGGGTACAATAGAAGGAAATGGGGCTCTTATGTCTGTGGTAGCTGCTACACATGCTGATTCAGCCACTGTGGCAATGATCACTTTGCGAAATTTTCGCTCTTACGGCTTCGTTTGCCCTGCAACTCAATCGTCACGAAGTGTTTAGCAAATGTTCAGCAGTTCCAGTTCAACACCTTGACCCTTTGAAGCTGGCCAACTCAAGTCAGCTCACTCTGTTCCTAATGAATCATTTTCATATCTGAACCAAAAGCCAACGTACAATAATGCACAAAGCCAGGAATGCGTTCCAAGCTGCAGGGACGTAGACTAATCATATCTATGTACTACCCATGATTTCCATCGAGGGTTACCGTTCACAGCGCCACAGTTACCTCTTATGAATATTGTGGGAAAGTCTATGGTAGCTTCCACTGTACTTCTCTAGATGAGTACATCAAGATAAAGCACGCTTTCTTCCTGCTAGCTGTAAATAAAAATGGCGGGTACAGTGACGTCTTTAAGCGCCTCCAGTCTCCAAGACGAGAAACGCTTTTTGCGATCGTCGTGTAGCCGCACAACGATAATAATCTATTTCTCACGCTTTTTTTTTTTTGCGTTATCGCCACGCTCCCGATTGGGAATGGCAGATTAGTGCGTGTTAAAGAACCCTAGGTGGTCAAAATTTCTGGAGCCCTCCACTACGGCGTCTCTCATAATCATATGGTGGTTTTGGCACATTAAACCCCTCATATCAATCAGGAATTGCAGATAAAGCTAACAGCGGGGACATAGAAAGTAGCGTTCACCCAGTTTTTGAGAAAGCAAACCCAAGCAAGCCAGTTGACGACCATTGCTGAAGAACAGAAAAGCGTCCCAAATGCTCCTCTTTCTCTTAGAGTGTACTCGCTGATGGGGCTTTAACGCGTCGAAACCACGATATGATTATGAGAGACGCTGTAGTGAAGGGCTCCGTAGATCTCAACCACTTGGGGTTCTTTAGCGTGTACATAAATCCAAATACTGCTTCGTATTGTGAAAGGAGGTCTTAAAATTTATCTGCAGAAAACGAAAGTAATCTACAACAACCTTGGGAGATAGCAGCGCTTCGAGATAGGTAATAGTGCACTTCAAGTTGTAAAAGACTATGTCTACTTAGGGCTGGTAATAACCGTTGAGCCGAACTACGAGGTTGAAGTAACTAGAAGAATAAGAATGGAGTGGAGCACATTTGCCAAGCATTCTCAAATCATGACAGGTAGATGGCCACTATCCCTCAAGAGGAAGGTATATAACAGCTGCATCTAGCCGGTACTTAGCTACGGAGCAAAAACCTGGAGACTTACAAAGAGGGTTCAGCTTAAATTGAGGACGACGCAGCGAGCAATGAAAAGGAAAATGGTAGGTGTAACCTTAAGAGACAAGAAGAAAGTAGAGTGGATTAGGGAACAAACCACGGTTGAGGATATCATGGTTGAAATCGAGAAGAGGAAATGGACGTGGGCCGGGCATTTAGCACGTGGACAGGATAACCGCTGGTCATTAAGGGTAACTAACTGGATTCCCAGAGAAGGCAAGCGGGTTAGGGGGAGGCAGAAGGTTAGGTGGGCAGATGAGATTAAGAAGTTTGCGGATAATAATTGGCAGCAGCAAGCACAGGGCCGAGTTGCCTGGCGGAACATGGGAGAGGCTTTTGTCCCGCAGTGGACGTAGTCAGGCTGATGATGATGATGATGACGACGATAATGATGATGATGATGATTGTGAAAGAAAACAAGCTTTTCAGGGTAGAAAACACTAATTGATGTACACTCGCTTGATAATATTTTTCTCTGTGCTTTGAGGTGCGTACTCTCCACCATAAAGTGCACCGAATCAAGTTGCCCTATCCGTAACAAGATTGCAATTACAACGTTCACTTAAACGCGTCCGTGGACGCAATGCAAAATTGAAGTTAGTCGACTGCCATTCGCGTTTCCAGTACTGAAGCGACATAGTTGACACGAGTGCCACTATCGACTTCTTATCGCAATTGTCAGATGTGCAAGTCACCAAGACCAACCTATAGATACTCATCCTTGTGGATTTTATTTCTGTGGCGTTATTATTCTTCTCAAAATACTCGTGGTGACAGTGGTGTTCATTAGCGATTCCTTTGACATACGATATGTCTATACACCCTAAGCCAGGTGGCACTGCTAGGACGGTAGAAAGCGTACATGTCGGTTAGTTGTAAGCGTGTCGCTGTGCTTTTTCCGGGCGAGTTGTACGAAATGTCAGATAATAATGTCAAGAAGTCTTCTAAATAAGTCCGGCCGGTCATCTTGACTAGCCACACCTGCCATTTCTGGCACTTCGAACATTAACGGCTGCCTTTATTGTCCAAAGTGTCAGAGCGAACGTCAAACAACAAAATGTTTTTATCTGTTCTATATATATTAGAGTTCGTTGAGGCAGCTGTTGTCTTGATGTGAATACCATGCCGAGCGGGAACAGAAAAAAATGTGACTAAACGTACTTTCATTCTTTTATGTATACCTCAATTCTCGCGTTCGGAGCACTATGAGGACTCATTAGCAGCTTACAAAAATTTAAGAGCCACTTTCAGAGATAATCTGAATCATAACTATTTCGATGAGAAGGCGAAGTATACAAACCCCTGAGTAATGTTCTTTATGTATAGTTTTGAGAAACCCACCAAATCAGAATGAAATTCGCAGGGCCTACCACATCCTGGTTTATTTATGATTTATTTATGGACAATTTATGTGCATGCTAAAGAACCCCAGGTGGTCGAGATTTCAGGAGCCATCTGCTACGGCATCTCCCATAATTATATCGTGGTTTTGGGAAGTTAAACTCCATCAGCAAGTATACTCTAAGGCAAAGACGAGTATTTGGGACGTCTTTCTGTTCTACAGCAATGTTCGTCGACTGGCTTGCTTGGGTTTTCTTTCTCAAAAACTGTGTCCATTCAAGGTTCCTTTCAAAAGTGCTATGTCACGCTGATAGCCATCTGCCACTCCTAATCGGGAAGTATAGTGAGAGCGGCGATAACGCAAGGAAAGCGTGTGGAATAGACGATCATCCCTGTGCGACCGCATGACGATCGCAAATCGTCATGCTTTTGGTGACGCTATAGCGCTCATGATCAGCAATGAGCTATAAGATGGGACGTTGGTGTTTCTTTTAAGAGTTTATGTGTTCTGGCGAAATTTTTTTGTTAATGCACTTACCAGACTTGTGTACTGGGATATAGTACCGATACGTACCGTTTCCTGGCCCCGCAGGTCGCGGGTTCGAATCTCGGCTGCGGCGGCTGCATTTTTGATGGAGGCGGAAATGTTGTAGGCCCGTGTGCTCAGATTTGGGTGCACGTTAAAGAACCCCAGGTGGTCGAAATTTCCGGAGCCCTCCACTACGGCGTCTCTCATAATCATATGGTGGTTTTGGGACGTTAAACCCCACATATCAATCAATCAAACCGTTTCCTGGCACGCGCGCCAGCAAATATTTAGGATCTGTTGCATCAACTGTACTACCAAACAAAAGAAAAGTTCTCGGCAAGCGTTACTCTATTTACGAAACGGTAGCTTGGGATAGATAGTCATTCAATGTCGACAGGTGCGCACACTGCAAACTGAACGAGCACCGAGGATAGAGCACAACAAAGCTGTTGTGTTGTGTAGTGTTCTCGGTTGTAGCTCAATCTGCACTGATCAAACATGTCGATGTCCAGCAAGCCTTCGATCTTTGGCAAGCATAGGCTACACCGTTCAAGTGCTACAGCAACTCGAGAATAGAGAGCAAAGCGATTGTCTGGGCAGGTTGTTGAGGCATCATTGCGCATTCACAGTGCAGCAGAACACTATGGACAATACAAGGTTAAACATATATAGACGACTGTTTATGCATATTTTACATTGCTTTGTTCCTGTTGTTCTTTCGAGTGGTATGTCCTCGAAGGAGAAGGCTGCTTATGGTAAACTCTGCAGAAATTTATTGGCGTGCTTATTGATGACGCTTATTTTGAGCTCATCTTGCAAAGACAATGAATTTCCAAAAAGATTCTTTTTCGTGCAGCAAAGGAACCCTTGTGGTGTTGACCAGGGCGACAAACCTCGCTCGTTTAGTTACAAATTTCAAATTATTTATTTGAAGACACGGAACATACAAGGTTGCCAAAAACTATTCCTACCCCTCACCGAATTCAAGTTGTGGTTCCCATAAAAATATACAGAAATTACGAGTACATAACGAGGTACATCACTTGCGTGAGCATATTTTATCACCCTACAGAATATGCTGAAAGTACAAGGAAACGCCGCATAGCGAGAACCAAATTGAGTATTATCTATTTTTTAATGTGAACTATTGTTAGTGTTAATTTATTGATTTGACTGATAAGTGGGGTTTAACGTCCCGAAACTATCATATGATTATGAGAGACGCCGTAGTGGAGGGCTCCGAAAATTTCGACCACCCGAGGTTTTTTACCATGCACCCAAATCTGTGCACACTGGCTTACAGCATTTTCGCTTCCATCGAAAATACAGCCACCACAGCCGGGATTCCATCCCGCGACCTGTAGGTCAGCAGCCGAGTACCTTAGCCACTAGACCACCGCGGCGAGGCAAGAGTGAGGTCAGAAAAGCGATATCAGCAAGTTACAAACGTACATTATTTACACAAACAAACAAAACTACCCGACAAGAAACGTGTTGTTGGAAAGCTTCATCGAGCTACAAATGCCTAAATAAAATATTTCATGGCTGTTCACTTTAGGGCTTTATTCAGGCTATCAAATCATTCGTTGCGCATAGACAAAGAATTATTCGCCTGATTTATTACCACCGGCAGTTCCCTTCAAACTAATTTTCGGTCAAGTGTTGAGTAGTTTTAATAAATTTGTTCTTTATTTGTTTTTTTTCTTTGCTGCCAAATTATCAGGCACTAGTTGTATCAAAATTGTGCGTCTACACATTTTCATTTGTCGTCTTTGCTATAATTTGAAGTTTTATTCTTTATTGTACAGTAATATAGCACACCATGTTAAATTTAGCCGTTGATGTACATACACATATGTAGTAGTATACCCTCACCTTAAATTTTCGCAGTTCTCAGTTGTAGTCTGATGTATTTGTAGTGACCGGAGGCTAGTCAGGCACGTAGAGACGCGTCTTTTGCTCCGGCAACGTGACAGTTCCTCCCTCACGTGTTGTCAAAACTGCAAATAAACTTGAAACATTAGACTTTAGATCGCGAAAGTTAGTCGGCCATTTCAATAACAGACATTTTTTTTTATCTTCGCTCGCAGACTGGCCTAAACTCCTGGTGCAAGTGTGGCACCAAGACAACTTCGGTCGAAACGAGCTCGTCGGCTACGGTTCCTGTCACCTTCCGAGCACGCCGGGTTTCTCCAAGCTTGAGTGCCCGACGTGGCGTCCAGTCGGCACTCTCCTGGAAGAAGTGTCCAGGCACTTCCTGGGAGGCGGGCTCCACCTGAGGGACCCAGAGGAAGTCTGTGGTAGCGTGGGTGACCGTTTCAGACTGCGCACCGAGGCAATGGGCACAGTTCACTTGGAACTCTACGTGATTCACAGAGATTTTGACAAGTATGGCATTGAGGCCTGATTGATAATTCCTTGGTTCTCGGAGGCCATGATATCGTGTTGTGAACAGCTTCCGTACACCTCGAGAAAAATGTGTTTGGCCTGCATTTTTTTCAATAGTCCTGCGCCAAAAAAAAAAACAACAGGAGTAACGCCTGTTCAATTAACATCGCGTCATTGACCTATATTTCATCATTGTCGTAAAGAAGCCGCACGTTCGGTTTTGTCACCAGTGCCAATGCGAAGATTGCGTTGAAACCTAATGACGCCGGTAAGCGCAACGACTAACTTCTACAGCTGGCGAACTGATTCTTCTAGGTCTACATCTTCGGGGCTAATCTACGCCTGCTAAGAATTTCTCTTCAGCCTGCTGTGTACCATATAAGAATAGAAGATGCAAAAGCAAACTAAAAAGCGTAGTGAGCTTTTCTTCTTGTTGGTACTAAACATTTGCTGTGCATCGAGTTTTGCTCCGTTCGCCTGTGCCAACGATACGTCGGATAGCCTAACAGCGGAAATGTTCAACGTCACGACAGCACTCTCGACGATCTTTCCCGAAGAAACGTCGCAGCCTGAGCAAACCACTGCGGCAACAACGGTGACGCAAGCGACCGACGCCGCAACGACAACGCTGACGTCACTCCCGGCAACGGCAGCGCCTCCTAGGCCATCACTCGTCGTGACGCCTAGCGAATGGTGCGAGTGCGACTTGACCACCGGTTCGTGTGACGTGGACTGTTGCTGTGACGGAGACTGCAGCCCGGACGACTCCCGGGCATTCCAGCACTGCACCGACAGGGAACCAGGGGAGCCGGACCTGAGGTACTGCACCAAGAGAGACGTCGTCTTCAGGAACAGGACGCTCTTCGAGAAGAGACCAGTGGGAGACATGCTGTGCATCGTCGTCGACAACGTTCAGAAGAAGGACTTCTATCCAGATCCACCTGAGGTTAAGACACTGGCCGATGCTCACAGCCTTATTAGGGGCAAGGTCATCCACAAATGGCCGTCTGCTGACGCAGTCAGGACGTGAACTGCAGGCTCAGTTCAAAGCTGGAAGCCCTGTACTTCGTGTGGATGACGATGGCATCGTTGGCGAGTGGAGTAAGTGTTTTGTATTCGTTGTAAGTTTGTCTCTGGTCCATAAGCATCGCCACCATCAACCTGACTACGTTCAATGCAGGGTGAAGGCATCGCCCATGTTTCGCCAATCAACCCGATCATAGGCTTTCGGCCGCTGCTCTATGCCCGCAACTTTCTTAGCCCTCATTGGCCCGAACTGTGGAAAGGTCATGTGAACAATTATTTGTTCAGTCTTTATCGTTGTGCAGACGAAGAACACGTGCGAAAGCAGCATGTTCGAAACGCGTTTGCGCTGCATTAAAGGCGGCGGCTAGTCAAGTCAAGGAACGCTTCTGAACACAGGGGAAACACTTCAAGGCGAAAGCAGCCTGCCGCAGACTTGGTCATTCATTAGTTATACACTGAGGGCCTAGACCTGCTGTAGGTGCCCCAATGAGGGTGACATGCTTTCGCATAGCCCGCGTCCAGAGAGTGAGAGCTCACTGCAAGTTTTTACATCAAATCTCTTGTGCATGTGCCTATTTATACAGAGCAACAGATATGTCACGGTTCATTGCTTTCTATACGCATGAAAAAAAGGTCAATTGTTCAGCCTCATCTCGTTTCGCTGAAATTCTGGTGGGAGTCTCGGTGCCGGTGACGGTGTCGATGGTTGTGAGCGAAAAATCGAGAAAGCTGGAAATACAATAAATAATAAAATTGTTGGGTCCGGATGAGAATCTAACAAAGACCGTATTGATTCTGCGCGGGAGGTTTACCACAAAGCCACAGTATTTGTTGGAACTGCTTTGGAAAAGCTATATCTATACCATGTAATAGAAGAGGTCTTCGTAACGCATCATGTTGCTTGGCAGAAGCGTAGAATGGCACCAGGCGTCAAAACTTGTTATTTGGCCAACGAGCCGATGTCTTAAAGACCCGTTCATTACAGAGCGCTCAGACATATATAATCATCAGCAGCAGCAGAAACAACAAGAAAGTGTACGGCTGCTTGGGTTGGCGGGTTTCCGTAAGGTCGCGTAGGCCCCTTTTCTGATTGGCAAAAGAAATATTTGTGGCGTAATGGGTGCTCAGGTGGGCTTGCAAAAGGCATTCAGGGATGCTTTGAAATGGCCAATGTTACGTGCACAGTCGTTCATGTTCTTACGGCACGATTGAGGCGTGCACCGAAAACCAAACAGGCTAGTGATTCAATACTGGCAGTTGGCCTATAGTTAGTACTTGCTTAATGGCATGATCTGCAAATAACAAAAACACAAGTAAAAGAACACACGAGGACAATCACAAGCGGCTATTCAGAAGGCGATGCACAGATTTTGTATGTGTGTTGCTGCAAAGGTGTATGGTTATAGTACTTATAGTTCAGCGTCTTGCTTCTATATATGTCATAAATTTTTAAGGCTGGTAGCTAGTCTTAGCAGCTCAGCGTTTCTTGAATTAGAAATTTAAAAAAAAAACCATACATGTGGATTCTTTTATATTTACTTTATCAGTAATGCATATCCGTACAACGGTGGAGGGCCAGCGCAAAACGACTTGGGATTCACTGTTTTTAGAATGCCTTGTGCATTGTATCCAGCGATAATGCGAATGTTATGGCAAAGGTACGGCTACTTCGTCAGCATATTATTCCATAACACTGTAGATTCTGTATCTATGGTACTACGTGCTATGCCTGTTTCGAAACAAATTAATTCGCTAGCGCTTGAAAAGGCTGGTATGCATTGTTCAGTGCGGCACCATAAATAGCACAAAGCGATGTTGTAGTTAAAGCTTTGCAATCTAAACAGCCCCAAAGATTTTCGCACTCTAACAAGAATCATTGTTTCACGATTTAGTGCTTGGTAAGATACTATTCGGAGCACGATAGTTGTTCCGGTACTTCTTTTTTTTGTTGTTGTTGAAGCGATGCCTTCGTGAAAAGAGCAGTGCAGCGTAGTTATCACTGGTAAACACAACTCACTGTGCTAGCATCGTAAGTACTTGACTGTTATTGATGGTTTGCATCAATGTCTTTGTTGGTACCACGTGTGCTTTTAAGCAGAACTCCGTGCCGCATTGAAGTAGTAGTACATAGTTATATTACGCTTGTAGTAGTAGTAGTAGTAGTAGTAGTAGTAGTAGTAGTAGTAGTAGTAGTAGTAGTAGTAGTAGTAGTAGTAGTAGTAGTAGACATTCTCAGCCTGTTTACGTTCACTGACAGTATAAAGGCCCCTCCCAATGATTTCCAGTTTATCCTATCCTGTGTGACCAAGCTGCTTCCATTTTATCTTAGCGAACTTCCTAATCTCCTCACTCCATCCAATTCTGCCTGCCTTCCTCAACTGCGCTTATCCTCCATTGGCAACCATTCTGTTTCTCTCAAAGTTGACAGTTGTCTTATGCATTACAGATCCATTTGTCTCGCTTGGTATCAACTAGAGCATCTTCTAGCCCTATATGGTCTCTGGCCCATTCTGCCATACTTTAATCTCTTAGTGTTCTATAATTTTTTTTCGTTTCATAGCATGTTACTTGGCCCTTTAACTATTTCTTTGCTTACATTGTTATCCTCTGTTTTAGTATCATACATTACAATGGTCATATGCACTGATATCACTCTTCCCAGTTTAACGAATTTGGCAGATCTGCTGACATCAATAAGGAGTTTCCACCCAATGCGCAGAAACGCTACTTTATTTATTCTTCAGTATTAGTAGTACATGTAATAAAAGAATATTACGTTGTGCAGCTGTACTGGCGTTAGCAACAACAGCCTTTGCCAGTTACCAGCTATCGCTACAGTGACGCGCCGAAGCACAAGCCATATTCTACAATTTGCAGTTGCAGATATTAGTTAGTGGTATCGTAAACGGCTGTAATAGCTTCTGCTTGGCTACGTTCTTCACAAATATATTACTGTAACTTTAGCGTTGTCAAGATTTTCAGCAATAGATCTCATGAAGTGTTGTTTAGTAGGCCTACTCCTAGTCATAGCTCTTGTCGCATGATGATGGAGAATCGCCATTGTTCTTCCCGACACTTCAGTCATTGCATGGCGTGATGTATGCTTCTTCTCCCTTTTCCTTTATTAGCTTTTCTCGTTTCAATGCCTGCGTCATGTGAATTACGTGGAAACATTGCTGCGTGAACTTTATGTGGCTCTTTTTTTCTGTGTTTTTTTTTTCGCATGCATTTTCGGTCATCAATTTCAGTGGCGCCTCACTTGTGTGTGAGATTCGAGGAAGATGAAGAGTTGTAGTGTTGGTACCATGACTGGCAACTGTGGTGATTGCTTTCCTTTGAGCTTACGTACTGCACGCCGCTTGTCTTAGTGAAAATTCGTTCATCCCCTACAGATTGCTCGCAGTGACCTAACTGAAACGGCCGTCTTGTGGTACCGACGTTGTGAAACGTGAAGTTTGTGGTGTCACGTAGCAGGTCTCAACACATATCGTGCTGGTTATTTTGTTAATCAGACACAGAGATGAAATAAGGCCCTTGTGATGTCCTTATCACATTGAAGCGGGTCGATTGCCACGTGACATTTTTGATGTGACGTCACCGAAGCCTCCATGTGGGAGCACCAGCACGTTAAAAAGCTGCGTTGGTGACTTGACGTGCAAGCGATTAGTATGTACCAGGTTTTACTTTTTGTTGTTGTTTTCATAGGCTTGCTAAGCGGGCGTGGTGAGGGGGAGACAAGGGACGTGAATTCCCCCTATAACAACCTTAGAGGGGGCGTCAACGCTGTTAACGTACCTTCATTTCTTCGGACATGTCCCGACAGTGTTTATTGCGCCTCCGAACCACATACGATATTCTGCCAGACATATCAAGTTAACACATAGGAACCCCGTCACGATGAACGATACCACACGGGGCAGCGCTACGAACGGCGGGCCTCGCAAATTCCGCGAAACACTGCCGACACTGTAGCCGCTACGCGCGTCGCTAAGGGAACTAAACTACCGCGGTGTAACCGCCACAATAGCATTCGCTTCAGAATTTACAGGTATGGGGTAGCCAAGGTGAAATGCACCGCGACCTATCCACAGCAAGACAAGTTACAACACAACAGCGTCAATATAGTATTTAAGCTTTGCCGATGTTTGGTGCGTCACAGGTATACTGCCCCATAGCAATATCTACATTGTTTTGTCACTTAAACGTCATATCAAATGACAGTGGTAGTCATTACCTTCGCATTTAAGACCCAAAAGGAGCGCCACGACTACAACACGCATGGCCAGTTCAGCTGTTACTGCTACTGCTACTACTAGTTAGTATGATTACTATTTCTACAAAAACTACTACAACAACTTCTGTCGTTACTACCGAAGCTACTACTGCTACTATACTATCGCACTTCTAATGATATGGCAACTGTAATGCATATTCATTCGTTCTACTGATACGGCCATGTTTACGCATCCTGACAGTGAAAAAAGTCAATGTACCATTCCAGCAGTGTACTCTGTTAACCGTGATCAAAGTCATTTGCTTTTACTTTCTTTTCATTTATTAGAAGGTTAGTGACCTCCTATTCCCGAAGAAATCTCATAGGCCCTACCGTGCCCTAAATAACTTGGTCCATTTTTTGCCTCTTGTTTCATTTGTTCTGGGCCGTGAAGTCATGACGTCAAAGATACTCACGTCACGGTATAATGACCTCTTGGTAAACGGAGCCGAAACGGGCTATAGACAAGCTGTTACTTATCAGGACTTATTAACTGCACGTCTTAAATATGTCAATATACTTAAAGGTGTTTGAATGTCTGTGACCCCTAACTAACTGAACTATATTTAAGGGTCAAAAATTTCATTTCTGACGTTGCCATTGACTGTCGTATGTGTTTATTCAGTGAAAGTTCCTATTTGTTTGCTAGAAGATAGGAGATATTTCGAAATGTGCAAGAGAGTGGGATTAACTGACCCTAGCACAGTTACCTAGAAGCAAACGTAAACATGGCAGTGAAATTGAGCAGCTGATGATGATGATGACAATAGGCCTCGGGAAACTGTGCAAGCGGGTATATAAGGTCGACAGGGACCAGCACGTTTACTTTGCCACAAACGTGAAATTGCCGTGGGATTCGGCTGCCAATGATGATAATAGTGATAATGATGCTGCTGATGACAGCTACCAACGCGGCAAAATATCGCTTCTTTTTGCAGGGTTGCCGACCAAGCTGTTCAGTTCTCGCTGCGAAGCGACAGAAGCGATTGCGTACCTACGTGACGCGGACTACGAGTGTCGGCCGTAAGATCAGTGCCACCTTGGAACGAACCTGCTCATCTGACCCTTCGTTCTCGGTATTCACATACCACAGTAACTTCTCCATACGGTCTCAATCCGATGAAAAGTTGAGAATACAGCCATTCGTTTGCTACAACGAGTCCTGCCTAGTGGCCAACACCAGTGACTGCGCGCCCCGCTTCGTCGACGGCTCCTGCGATCATGTGGTTTCGGAGGCTGCCTTCAGAGTGTTTCACAATGGTGCCGATGGCATATCGCGCATCGACGTTCACTACAAGCTTGTCGCGCTTAAATCTGGAACTGTTGAATTCGGCCAACGGTTCAGCGTTTCCTTCGTTTGGGCATCTACTAACGGAACTGAGCCGCTCAAAGTGAGCGGCAACCCTGGGTACATAACCGGGCTTCCAATACTGGCGGGATGCTTCGGTGAGAACGGATCGGCTTGTCGGGAAGCAAGATTCCCCGATGTTCCTGAGTAGTTCCACAGCCAACTGACGGGGACTGCATTTCTCCCGTGCGGAGGAGCGCCGTCAAGTTTCGGTACAACGTCAGGACCGGCTGCCTCCTGTGGCCCTGCAGGTTCCCGAACTGCTCGGTGCTTCAGGACGCCCTGCTGGGCTACGTCACTAGTACGGATCATCACGTGACCCACGTGGCGAGCTTCGGAAACGCCAACAGCTCTCGGGTCGATGGCTTCGTCCCCGTTTTAGTCGAAAACTCGCCGGTGACGGACTCGACGCAAGCGGCCGTGTCTTCCTCGACGGCCCAGAAGGACTTCTGCGTCCTGCCCGCAACGGAAGTGCGTGTCTACGTCATGCACGCCCGAACCCAGCACGCATTCGAGGCCTCAGGAGAAGATAGTTTCGGTTTTGCGTTCGTACGGCCGAAGCGGCGCGGCCGAAGTTCGTCTCTCTCAGAGAGTTCCGGTGGAAGTGACGTACTCCGTCAACTTCGTTGACGTCACAAGTCCTCGTAAACGCATCTTCGCGCCTCCGCCCACGATTGACGCACGTCTGCCGCAGGATTTTTTCTATCCTTTCTTTCTGGAGTCAGCCGCGTCGAAATATCACAGCGCGATGTCTTTTTCTTTATCCCTCGCACTGCTCGTCGTCTCTGCAGCCACCGACTTTTGGCGGCTGACGTATGTGCCGTTATTGGAGCATTGTTAACTGAGAACATCTGGAACTGCTTGGCCCTTTCCAGGCTGCGGCTGCTCCAAGGCCGACAAGTGCTCGTAGTCGACCTTTCGCGATGAAGCGAATACGGTGTTCAAGGCATCGGGTTTTTTTTTTCCCTCTTCTTTCTTTTCATATTTTTAAACGAGCGTACAGCGATCTTTAAAACATACGCGCCTTTTTTTCTTGTTATAAGCGCTTGCAAAGAGCCGAGCCTTATTCGGACTGTCCCTGCGGATAGCACTTGTGAGCATGAAATCTACGGATCACAAATATAAGTGGCCAAATTGGATCTTATAGTAGCAGTTCGCGTAATGAAATGCATCGCACGCAAAGCAGGGCGGTTATTATGGCTGAGTAGGTAAAAAGTAAAAGCAAACCTATGCATTTTCACATGTGCCCACTGATTCCGAAAGTACTTGATGTTTCCCTACAATTTTCGTTACGTGCGCACATTCTCAGCGCGTTAATACGCCTGGCCTCGCTAATTCTTCGTATTCACGCTGTTTATAATAAGTTCGCACAGAATGCGTCTTTGCAATTCAAGGTTATTTTCTTTTGGTTGTTCAATACGGCTCATCATTCGAGTATTAAGTGATTACTTACTCATTCAATTTATCTTGTGGAAATTACGCTTTCATCACCTAATACGTTCATTACTGTGTATTGTTGATGTTCTCAGCCACTGATTAACGTTGCCGCTCGTTGAAGCTTACCATCCTTGCGAACGCCGATTGGTGTTCTTTCCCACTCAGCTTTTCCGGAAATGTTTCATGTGGCGTCTCTCATTGTACTTGGCAGTAAAACGGTGCCTGGTTGCCAGAATGTGTCCTTGAGTGACTCAACCATCATGCTGTGTGACGCTCCCGTGTTCGAGCTCCTTGAGTGAAGGCTCGTCGAAGGACTTAACCAGTGATTAGGACCGTCCTTGCGAACGCCGACTTGTATTCTTCTGAGCTTTTCCGGAAATGTTTCATGTGACGTCTCTCATTGTACTTGCCAGTAAAACGATGCCTGGTTGCCTGAATGTGTCCTTGAGCGACTGAACCATCATGCTGTGTGACGCTCCCGTGTTCGAACCTCTTGAGTGAAGGCTCGTCGAAGGACTTAAACAGTGATTAGGACCGTCCTTGCGAACGCCGATTTGTATTCTTCTGAGCTTTTCCGGAAATGTTTCATGTGACGTCTCTCATTGTACTTGCCAGTAAAACGATGCCTGGTTGCCTGAATGTGTCCTTGAGCGACTGAACCATCATGCTGTGGGACGTTCTTGCGTTCGAACTCCTTGAGTGAAGGCTCTTCAAAGGATTGAACCAGTGATTAGGACGCACCAAGAATATCGCGTTGATGCACATCGCACCCCTCATATCCGTGTGTCATCTATGTGTGGTTTTCAGTCAAAACTTGGCCTCGCAATCATTTGGGAAGGGACGCCGACAAGCCTCTACTGCAACATTACCAAATTGCTGAGAAAGATCAAGCAGGACCTTGAACACAAAGAGACCCTTATCATATAAGGGGCTCCAAGACTGTGACACTTTACGATGCACTTTTGGTGCCTACTGCTTTATCTCTAGTACATGTTCCGTTGTGAACCCATTGTGTTTATAATATTCAGAACACAGCACCTGGGAAACTAGAAAAGGGTCACAATATCATCAGCTACACGCTAACTTATTTGGCTCCTCCCCAAGTAACGTATATTTGTCTTCACTAATGTATACAAAGACCATACTTCGATTATATTTGGTGATGCATAAGGAGCGCCGATTTTTTATTTATAAGCTAAACATATTTCTTGCGAACACATGAGGAGGTATGGATCTGCCTCACATGTCAAGCAATGTCAGGGGTGGAAAGAACTGATTTTTCGGTTGCTCATCTATTCTCCAACCGGTGTTATCGATGACCTCCAGAATCGGCAAGCAAAGCGAGCTCCAAGAACTGCGTCTGGAATTGACGTATATGTCACCAAGTCTTGCGCAGTAAAAATTGTACCGCTTTTAATCCCAATAATAGTTGGAACCGAAACTCTGATGCTAATGGTTGCCAATAAAATGTCGCCATAACGTCTACTGGCGTGTCTTTCTAAACACAGGGACTTTCCCCCTAAAGCAAGGGCGTAGCCAGATATTTTTTTTTAGGGGGGGGATTTCTAGATTTGAAAGGGGCACTAATTGAAATGGTCATTTTTCACTCTTCAAGCCATAGAGAAAAAATGGAGGGGGGGGCGGGCATGGGCCCTGTGTGCCACCCCCTTGTTAGGCACATGTCCTAAAGTACGCTCTGCAACTTCCGGCTTACGAAGAATGCAATCGCCAATGGATTCTCATTAAAGTAGCCATATCATATGCTTCTTTAGGACGCTAAACGTCGACAACTATTACTAACATAGAGCAGGTTTGCTCTATCTACGCGACGCTCTTCCCACGTTGTGTACATTTATCTACGCGTTAGCTTTCCTATACGCGATGAGCTAGCGACACTTGCCATTAGGTTAGCTAAAGGCAAGGTTCGCTAACGGCAAGGTTAGCTAATGGCAAGGTTAGCTCATTGAGTTCGAGTAATTTTTCACGACTTGGTCAGTGAAGCGAAAACTTTCGTTGACGTTCGACAATCCAGGAACCTGAGCACTTCCGGTATGCCAGAAAATCATCAGGTACAAGACCAAAAGTTTTCGCTTTAAAACAAAAGTTAATATAAAATACACGACGTACATGCTACGCGCCACATTGTTGTTGTTGTTGTTTATTCAAAAATAGATACATTTTTTCATGAATACATTTTCTGCATGTCGAATGAAGAATCGTAGGTCCCAAAGTAAAAACTGTCAGGGGGACCTCCTAACAAAAAGTAAAAAGAGGATTAGCTTTTTAGTCAGCAAACAGCGACGAAATAAGCACTTCGAAGTAAGCACTTCGAATGCTAAGGGTGTAAAGTATCTCAGTTTAGGACGCTTGATAGAAGAAATCGTTCAAGGAAGTAGGAGGCTGCACTTTGCGATTCTTTTAGGAGAGGTAGACCTAGATGAATGAAAGAGAAGAAAGAAAGACAGTCCAAACATAACACATACAGATTTGTATCTGGCGATGGCAGGTGGGTTATAGTGATATACAATCTAAATAAAAATGCAGCATTCGTGGAGTAGTTCTGCTGTACAACATTAATCGTCATCTGGCTTGTTCGCGTTTCCTTGCTTGAAAACCCGGCGCTGGCCCTGTCAAGAATGATATGTCACACTGATAACGCGCGCGCCGTTCGTGACTGCGAACTACCGGGACCGTGTTGATAACGTGAGGAATGTAGTCGAAGTAGAGGACGATTATTGTTGTGTGGCAAGAACACACCCCAAATACTCGATTTTTTTAGAGTGCAGAGAGATAAAAAGGGAGTACAATAAAAGAGCTGGAAAGACCACACGTGAACAACTACTGCTGTTCTCGGGATGTTCCTGTGCTCACTGTAGCACAGGATGACATTTGCCAGTACCACAGTCGTTCCATGCAGCTTCATTTGTGTGAACTGCCGTAATCATTCTGTGCTCATAATCTCCATTCAGGGGGAAGTACCATTCGTGGGACACTTTGTCGAGTGTCATTTTACTCGCGGGGCATCGGAGATAAGAACTTCAGGTTACGAGGACACATCTGTTGCAGTGATATTCTGTAGTTCGATCAACACTGCCGAGCATTCGCGCTCTTACTCAAGACTATGAGGTGTCTACAATTTAAAAAACAAACAAGCCATTCATGGAACGTGATGGTCCCTTCAGCATTCTGGCAAAAAGCAGCGAGCCATAACGTCCACATTTGCAGAGAAATTCCTTTGCACAATAAAAATGTGGCGCGTTTTATTGTAGTGACTCTCCTTTTCCCCTTGTTTAACAAAGTTTCGACGTTATCACACGAGCTTTCATAAGAGACTGTGAACCAAGAAATCAATAAATGACTGCTAAAGCAACTGCGATTCCTTAGCAGCCTCGGAATGTCACAGCACAGTCTGTCTTCTTTTCTATATAGAAGAGAGATAGAAGCCTAATGGAAACTCGCAGGTGTTAATTGATTGACTATGCTATATTTCTAGGGTAGCCAATACGGCTACTCTACAAATCCAGCTACCCTACGACCCGACCACTTGTAGCCTAAATTGTGTACCCTACAATACCAGCTTGCCTACTCGCCTACTATGAGCGGTCTACACGGTTACTCTACGTATAAGGAGGAGCAGAAGAAGTATACATACGACAAGGGCAAGGGTAAAATAAATAACAAATAGCTAGTTAGTGTGAGGACATCGTGGAAAGTCCACTGGCAATTAGCATGATTTCGTAAGGTCCAGTAGCCTTTACGTAATTGAAGGCTGTTGCGCCCTTCCACATACGAATACAAGCAGTTCATAGAAGATAAAATTTCAAAGAAGTAAAAAGCCCTCAACTGATACTGTAGCTTTTTCACCAGAGGCAACGTTTCGACATGCAAACTGGTCTTTGTCAAAGCGACAACTCCCTTGACAAAGGCGAGCCTGCTTTTTGAAGCGTCGGCTTCATGGAACAACAGCCTCTTTTCAAGAATTTTTCCTCTTGGTGCACGTGATGTTTATACTAAAGAAAGGATTCCTACATACAAGATTGATATACCGCCAAGTAGGCACCGATGACTGTGCAGTAGTATGTAAAGTAGTGGAATATTTTGTCGCAGCATTCATATAAAAAAAGTATCAATCCTCATTGTTGGTTGATCCTGTTGTGAACGAAGAAAGAGTACACTCAAGGAAAGATTGGAGCCTAGTCTTCATAAATGTCGACATGATCTCTTCGTATAAAAAGCCTTGAGGCCTTCAGACAGCAGCGGCGAGTAATACTGAGAGTAGTAAGTGCAGCAAATTCAGCAAGTGCAGCCGCTGCTCAGAACAAGTAGTGATAGTTTATTTGCTGGTCAGACATTTTCCATGTCTCTGCAGCTAGAAGAGTCTGAGCTCAAAGTTGTAATAAACAGCGTCAAGCAGTGAATACAGATCTCACTTGGGCTTCCTTGCAAACAGCTAGATATCCGAGACTGTTGAGCAAAGCAACAGAATCTCCAGTTAATGCGTTTCTAGGGGCAGCTCTGATGCAAGGCTTGCTTCTCTTACACTAGAGCTAATTAAACATGTGCAGCTGCCGGCCCACATGCCAACTACATTATTATAACACTAAATGCAGATAAGAGATCAACAGAAGCCCAACCTACTGTAAAGTGTATTACAAACAACCGTTTTACGTCTCCCGTGGACATTGCCATCGATCACTCCCTGAAGTAAAAAAATTGATTATGTATTGTTCGCAAGGTTGGTTTTGTGGCGAAATACATCACTATTCACGTGACTCCACCTAACACATTAAGCAGGGCATAAAAATACCTCTACAGGACGTACTTCCTCCACTTGATCACAGTAGACCTGATTGATGATGATGATGCCCCTTCTGAGGCGCATACTCACTCACCGGGATCGGCCAAGAAACAACAAAGTTGAGTTCTTGCTTAACCTTCTTCTTTCTTCGTTTCTTTTTACGTCATCGTCATTCTTCTTCTTTCTTTCTTTAATCTTTTAATGTATTCCCCGCTCCTTCCACATTTCTCTCCTCCTTACCTTCAATCACTTTATCTCGCTCTTCTTTCACTTTCCCAACCCTTAAACTTCGCCATACAACGATAAGCCGAATTTTACCCTATCCTCGTCATTTCCCTCCTCCTCGACCGCACTTCCTTTCTCCAACCCATTGCTTCCTTTCTCCAACCCTGCTACAGCGAGGGGATGCGTGGCTCTGCTGTGACAGGAGCTTCTCGGCACATACCCTCTATTCGTAGCGCAGCTATCTGCCTAGCTTATCTGTCTAACCAACTTATCTGTCTAATGGTGCCATCCATTGGCATATTTGGCTCACTTCCGGTAATACTTTCTTTTGCTCCATGCGTAGCAAGTCTATTCCATTGACAGATTGAGAGTGCTCCTGGTACGTTCAAGTGGCAGATCTGGAGCAGCTCCGTCGTGAGATCCACTCCATGGAGCAACTTTTTTTTACTCTGCGGAAAGCGGCGAATTCGACCGGAAGTCGCAAGCGCCCCATGTCTTGAAACCACTTGAAACGGTGTCAATATAGAGTTTTCCCCAGTGCAGGGTAGCGAACCGGACGTGCGTCTGGTTGACCTCCCTGCCTTTCATTTCTTCCCTTCCTCCTCCTCCTCCTCCACCTAGAAAGGAATCTGGCGCTGCGATCATGTACCCTTGGTACAGGTTAGTACAGGTTTTGGATTGAATAGGTTTAGCTAATGAACCATCTACAAACCTTTTTCTACAGTTTCAGTTTAGTTCTTCGGGTAGCGTGGGTAGTGGGGTGCGGTGGAGAAGGCTGAAGGTGTGCCTTTGTTGTTAGAAGACGTTGAAGACCACTAGGTCTCTTGATTTTCTGCGATGTTGGGCTTTATGAGTCGTGTTTGACAGTTTAAACGAAGCGTTGTCCACTCAACGCTGCGCATAGATGTAGCGTCTCATGCCATTGCAGAAAATTGCATCACGTTCATGTTTTTTACCGAGCGAGTCTTGTCTAAACTAGTTTGAATCGGCTGCAAACGGTGACGAAGCCGTGTAGACGCACCATCATGCTCCGCTGACTCGACTGCACAACAAAACCAGAGGAGCGTTGGGAGCAGACCAGTTGGACAGATGCACCTAGCGTCGCAGAAGACGAAACGTTAAGTGTTTCTCACTCAATACTGTACTGTTATTTCTCTAAATAGATAATGCGTGCTTTTGAGGGGAAAAAAAGGCATGTTTGTTTTCAAGTGTTGAAAAAATACTTCATTAAATCTGATGCCAAATCTACAACGCAGTGGCAGAGCAATGCATACCCTGATAGTTAAATTTGCCTGCAGGTTTCACTTTGGCCACCTCGTAACCAAATTTTTTGCAGTAAATTTTGAGTACAAATAAACGAAGCAATGCTCAATTAGACATAAGTTAGTATCACTTCGTTTTACACTCGGAAATGAAACGTCGCAAATCTCAAGAATCTAATCCATCCGGAGCATATCCGAATCCTGTACTTTTCAAAATTTCCATGGTGGTACAGGTGGCGCTGAAGGAGCCCGCGTAATTTCCCCACTTTCATCTAGGGACCTTAAGCCCGCGTAGACACTAGCGCCAGATTCCCCTCTAGGTTTTATTGTATGAAACTGTATGGGTGCCAACATTGGGCACGCTGATGTACGGCGGTTGCGTCAGTTGCGCCTCGCGTCGGATCTCACGTGTTGCTAGCGTAGCGTCACTGTGCCCAGCGTGCCCACTCAAGCAAGAAGAGACACGAGCGCACCACCTTCCATTACCATGACATTTGCTCCAGAGAGAACGCACATGTTCCATTGGTAGCTTCCCTTCTGTTGCCCTCCGCCATAGCAGAGTGCTCCAGCGCAGAGTTCGTTGGCCACTCCAAATGTGCTAATCGATGACACCATAACAGACTAGCCCTACTTCAATCTTAAATAGTTTCGCCATTGAAAGCGGCATTACAAGCTTTCTTTTAAAGCTGCACGAACTCAACAGCTGATCACTTTTCTTACTTAGGAACGAATTTAAAACTGTAAAATTGCTTTACAATCACTCTTCAATTGGTAATGTCCTTGCAACCTTTGATTGATATGTGGGGTTTAACGTCCCAAAACCACTATATGATTATGAGAGACGAACATATTTGGTAATGTTCTTGCAAACCTTTAACCAGTCCACATATCTCTTGCGACGAGCACTCAAGCACGCTTTATCTACGCTTATCAAGCCTGGAAAGCAGCAGTGGTAAGATTGCACAAAGGTGCCACTCTCAAAAGTAGCCTTGGCTGACTGTACTGCCATTTCATGTCGCTCACTGTACACTGCCACTGCAGCACACCAAATTCCATGCTTGTGACATGCCTTATGGCTGCAGTGTATTATTGGGTGTCATACGCAGCAGGAACGTTGAGCAACACCCCTAGAATGTGCCATACCTACCCATCTATGCACCGTTGTTGCTCTTGTAGCAGTTTATTGTATCTCATTACAAACGCTGACGCCTTCAGAAAATCTAGCTTTCCGCTAACTTCGCAGAACAAGGGCCCGCTAAGCAGCGCTCTTTTTGAAATTGAGCCGGCGTCGTCTGCTACGATGCGGACCCCGCCCCCATCGGCGTTGTAGCAGACGACGCAACGGTCCGTCCGGCGAGGAGGGGACGACGCCGTTTCCGCCGCAGCAGACGACGTTTACTCCATAACGCACAAACCGGCTGGATAACGAAGCGAAAAGAAAAGCGACTCATTAGATGAAACCAAATCTGCCGCCGTCGCGATATCTGAAGCCGGCAATTCTTCCTTTTTGTCTTTCCTCCCACACATCTGAAGCTTTCTTTTATTTCTTTTATCTTTCCTTTTCTGGCGCGCATGCTGCAGTGTGCCGGCTGTTGCAGCGCGCGCTCGTGCGTTCGAGCATGGCGTCCTGTTCCGCCCCCCAAAGCAGCCAATGAACGGCCGTAGCGTGGCGCCTTCGAAAAAGCAACAGCACCGAAAAGGAGTGGCGAGGCGCATGCGTTCATGGCGCGTCTGTCGGGTGTTCAAATTCCACCGTTTTCTGAAGCAGCCAGTTTGTTTTCCCGGTATACAACGCCATTCACGTTTAAGCTTGCGTCGCCTCCGGATCTCAAATTCTTCTAAGCTGCGTGGCTCGCCTGGTATTTATCGCTTTGTCTCGCGTTTTGCGATCCGGTGAGAGAAGCGAACTACTTTTCGAAGCGGAGCACCGCGAAGCGCAGTGATACCAGCCGGCGCGTTTCCGGTTCCGCTCGCCTCTCCTCCTTTCGGAGCGCCGCTCCTCTCCCAACGATGCCGACGGGTGTTCCACGCTCGAGCAACTTGTTGCAGTCGGGAACTATCTCTGTGTGAGTGAAGTGCGCGCTGTGCGGCCGTCCGAGCAGGCCTTGGTGGTGGTGGTGGCTACGGTTGTATTCTTTTCCGTTCGATTCCCCCTACGGCAACTCCGTTTGCAACCGCGGTCGCACACACGCAGAAAGGGACAAGGCGCGCCGACGCCGCTAGCAGACGCCGGCGCCTCCGATCACGACCTGGGACCGTACAATCGGGAATTAGCCGAGAAACGACCACCGAGATGACCATGGAGAGCATCGAAGTTGATCGTTCTCTCTACGACATCGGGGACTCGGACCTCAAGGAGCTGTGGGCCCAGGAGTCCTTCGAATCGGTGAGAGTGCGCTGGCTGTGTCTGTGTGTGTGACACCTTGCTGTGAGTTTTGCGGATGCTTCTGGATGGATGCGCGTGCCTGTGTATGTGCGTGTGTGTGCGTGCATTTTTTTTTTGTCAGCTTGTGTGCTCGCGAATAGGTTCCTGCCGATGATGCTGGGACTGTCGCAGTGTCGCAACGCCCATTGTGCTTCTCCACATCGGGTTTCAATTTCGAAGCTTTTTTTTTTATTTTCCGTTCGTTTTGAGCGAGTTTGATCGCCTGCATCCCCGCCCCCCTCGTCGTTCCTTCTCGCCGCATTGCTCTGCGTGCCGCTTAGCGGATTGGAACGGGATCTTTGACCTCTTCTACCTCGAGGGCCCGTAGACCGGTCACCGGCTTATAGATGTGGGCCGGTGGTAGGCAAGTGAAAGCGTTGCGTTTTATTATTATTATTATTATTATTATTATTATTATTATTATTATTATTATTATTATTATTATTATTATTATTATTATTATTATTATTATTATTATTATTGCACAACGAGGACCTGTCGGCGATGTCTCCTCACCTTAGCAGAAAATACCTAAGGAGTCTTCTCACACTCTTGAAATGGATAGTAAAAGTTGTACCATCCATTACCCCCTTTGCACGTTTGCTGCGTTTAGCTCGCGTTTCGTCATTTAAGGTAGCATATTGCGGTTAATACTCTGTGCATTGGGGCTTGCAGAGGTTACTGCTCGATTACTTGGAACTTGTCACAGTAGTGAAGTCACTTTTTTGTATTAATATTTTCCTACAGGTACTAACTGTAAGTAGTTACTACTAAGTGCGGTGGCAGTAAAAAAAATTGGTCGGTCATTGACCTCGCGTCTTAACAGTTGTGTCCTTGCTTTGTAGATGTATGCAGTTCACAGGCAGTTGAAGGCGTTTATTAATAATAATAATGATGAAATATTATTATTATATTATTATTATTATTATTATTATTATTATTATTATTATTATTATTATTATTATTATTATTAATATTATTATTATTATTATTATTATTATTATTATTATTATTATTATTATTATTATTATTATTATTATTATCACAGGGTCGTGACAATGACGAAGGGAGCACACAGTGGGTCGAAGATCAAACTGTTTATTCAGCCAAACTTGTGGCCACGAGAAAGGAAATTGAGATTACGGCAAGACACGCGCGCTGATATCGGCGAACTGAGCGTCGGTCGTCGATCGACTGACCAGGGGCGAAGCGCGTCGGCATTTATACACTTGCCATCGAACATTGTAGCGTTATCGCTATATCGCTAGCGACGACGTTGTTTCCATAATAATCTGAAAGATTCATGAAGTGGGCGTAATCTTAACAAAACGATTTACTACAGCCTCGAAGCTTTTCTAACAACGTAGGCGTAGTTCGCGCTGAACATAGTGTAACATGGCGATAAAAAAAAACGTGAAGAAAGGTGCGTGGCATTATTATTATTATTATTATTATTATTATTATTATTATTATTATTATTATATTATTATTATTATTATTATTATTATTATTATTATTATTATTATTATTATTATTATTATGTTTGCGAAGCACTGCATATCGAAGACCTAGTGGAGATATCTTACCACCTCAACAAAGTCTCTACTTAACGAGTCCTCCCGCACTCTTAAAAAAAAAACGTATTAAAGGTAGCAACTGCATCATTTACTACTTTCTTGGCACATTTCCTACCTTTCGCAAACTGTCGCTTCGTTTTGAGGTAGTAAATATTGTAGTTACTCCATAGAGTGTAAGGGTAATAAAGTTACGTTATTCGAATTACTGTATGCCAGTAGGTACTAACTGCAAGCAGTATGTCGTGGTAGTAGAATTTCTGACCTTGCAGTTACTACGTTCAGTTTCTACGCAGGTAGTGAGTGTTCTGGCAAGTGCCTGCTACCTCAATGGTAGTAAATAGCACCGCTTTCGTTTTGCACGTTGTCCACGTGTTCTGCTTTCGTGTCACATTTTTTTTCCGCGCCACAATATTTTTTTGTAATACTGTTCTGTACTACACAGTCACGAGATTAGTAGGTGAATGCACCCCTGTTTTGTTTGCCCACTATGGTGCTATAAATAACAACTTCTCGCCGTTTCTCCCCGCTTCCAACTGCAGTTGTAAAAAATATATATACTGGTGTTATTGTGCCCGCTTCGCGATTGAAAACGAAAACAATCAAATTGTTTTGTTCGGCCTGTTTTTGTTCGCATTCTCTGCCGCGTTTTCGGCGGTCGGCGGTGCGCTTTCGAAACGGACTCTCCGAGAAAAAGTTGGACGCCGACTGGTTTCCTGCGAGCGCCTTGAGATTGTTTATTTTTGTTGTCGATTGGTTAATGCACAAGTGATAAAAAAGAGGAGATACTGAGAATAGAAGAAAAGAACTCAGTGCCAAAGGGCGAGCGCAAAACATCAACTGACTTTCTTTTCGGGAAAAATACTGCTGACAGTGTAGACATCGTGTGCCTGTACGCCCCCTTGGCGTCGCTAATGAAGCATCGACTCAAACAGGCTGTACTCGTTGTTGAACAAATATACTAATATGTCGCTTATACAGTCATGTGCACTCCGTTCTTCTCTTCCAAGTATTCCTTTCATTTCCACTTTCGCGGCAAAAATGTCGCCCGTCAATACAATACCAACTCTCCTAACTGGAAGTTTTATTGGAGGTACATACTATAACAGCCTTTAGTGTTTGTATTTTTCTTCTTTTTGTTTCACTTCCGACCTAAACAACAGGTGTGCTACATTTCCTCGTGGCCTCTAATATCTACGCATTTCTCATGTTCGAAATTCCCCTTCAGTACTGCAGCTTTACGTAATTGACGATACTGGATGTCCTTACCCTAACGGAGTGTGCTGATGCGCTTTATCTCTCAGTCACAAATTTGTCATTTCTCCTGATAATTCAATCATATTGATTCGTGTGGATATTCACTGTTATGCGTACATGGAAATTGAGTGGGCCGTAAATACTGCCTGATTCATATTAGAAAGTCAAATATAGTATGAAATAATTGATATTCTCAATAGATTACAATAACACTCTTGAGTATTCACGGTTTTATTCACAGAGTGATTGATAATAGGTTGTGGCAGGGTATCTCATATTAGAGTAATAAAGAGTGGAGCATATTTAGTATTTTAGATTAAGCGTCGTGGCATGTGCGGATATCCACTGTCAGACGCACAGAAATAATTGTTTTCGTCTGCAAGATGTCCCTATTACTATACTGTTGTTACGCACGAATTTAAGATCGCAAGTATGGATCTATAGGTAATGAAGGTAGATTCATTTCTATCAAGCGCTTGCAGGTAGCGTCGTATCGGCGTAATTTTTACTTCAGCACTTATATCAGCAGCCACTTTTCGGTTAACGATCACGGTATATTTACTGCGTTATGACAAGGTCATCACGAACCATTACTCGTAGCAGTCAATAAAGTAAAAAGAACGCAAAAAACCACTAATTTAATGCCTTACAATCCCTAAGAGCTGTATACAGCCAGCGCCGAATGTTTAGAGACCGCGAGTCGCAAGAAAAAATCTGAATATATCCGCCGTCTTGCACAGGCAGGCTAAGTGTATCTCAGGACGACAGTGTAATGTGTCGTTCGAGCGAATACAGTTACAAACAGTGCAAGGGAATCAAACGTATTTTCAGACAGAGTGTTGTATACTTTTTCGCGCTGACTCTACTTATATCAAGTATGTCCTTTGCGCACCGCTTTTTTTATTATCCTTCAGGAACAGGTGCATACAAACTATATACATAGCAGTAACGTAACAGCTGTAATTTTCTCGATTGATTGTGTCGCTGCTTTTTTTTTCTTTTCGCCGCTTAACAGAAAAGAAACTGGTAATCAGTTTCGTTCGCTCTTTTTTAGGTTGCAATAAACTCGAGCATCCTGTATAACAGTAGTTTTTTTCTCATGATTATCAATATTTTCATAATGTACTATTCTGTGGGTGGATGAGATATAGGTGTGCTTGGTCATCATATCGCGTTTCATATTTTGTCATAATAACGTTCATAATTCGTCACGATAGTTGATCGCTTTCGTTTTTCCTTCTGTATTTCCACCCGCCACGGGGGTTTAGCGGCTCTGGTTTTCGACTCTTGACGCGAAGGTCGCTGAATCAAATCCAATCCACCGTGACCGTATACCTCGATAGAGGAGAAGCGCTATAGAGACGCGTCTGTTTAAGATTTATATGACCACGTTAAGGAACACCACACGTTCCAAGTTTCTGAAGCCATCCCCTATACGGCATGTGTGGCAGAGAAACCTCGAAGCAGTTATCTTGTTATCTGTGCACCTGACGTTAACCGTCAAGCTCGGCTACACCGTTTTACATCACGCTGTTTTTTATTAAAAAAAACACGTTACGTTAATATTACAACGCTATTCGTAATTTAGATAAGGTATATAAATTCGAGGTTGTTATTTTTGAGGCTGATGTCTGTCGGGAACATCGTAACATGCAGTCACAGAAAACAGTAGGGGACTTAAGCGCGCGTTTACCGTTGACGGATATGAAAGCCCGGCCAAATTGCTGAAGCGATGGTTATTTCGCAACTCCATAAGTTGACAGAAAGGTGGCTGCTTACTACTGTGACAGATATTAAAGGTCAGACGTTTCTTTCCTCCTCAAACTAAGCGCTGGAGTATCACGTATCCACGTGGGTATAATGTTAAAAATGCAAAAAAAAAGCTACCTTGCAATACCCTATTTTTTTTAAATGTTTCTTGTTGGCTAAGGGGTATTTTATGGAGGACGCATTCCTTTGTAGAGTACTTGACATCTTGGCTTTTTTTTTTTCAGTCCAGTTTTTTTTTTTCACTATGATGATTTTTCTACAGATGTAGTTGGCGTCTTAAGCACCTACTATGGTGGCCTTCATTCAATCAGACCACAGGATGATGATTCTTGTCTCCATGAGCCAATAGCTACAGCGCTA